CTTTTCTCTATCGGGATGGAGGGTGATGTAGATAAAAAAAACATTATCTCTATTCCAGATATTGAGCACACTTCGACCATAAGTATAGCAAGATTTTAGCAATAGAGTTACACGCGTGACCCCCATATATATATATATATATATATATATATATATATATATATATATATATATATATATATATATATAACGTATTCGATGATACCCGTCTACTAGGGCAGTTAGCCAGTCTTTGTTGCAGACGTTCGCTCAGTCATATTTGTGTTTGCTCAATACTCATATAGCCCACCCGTGGTTCATACTACAACTATGATGAGTAGACCTTAGTTACAGTTTCTAGGAGAGAGCGTGTTATCTAGCGTGATTAACAATTTGAACAGGCCCAATTCAGTCAAGCCCTCTGTCACGATGGTTGTAGCTTCGTCCTAGTATGGCTATCGACGGCCCACAAGAGTTTCATCTACCCAATTTCACTCACAGGGTTTGGGTCAACCTGTGATATGTTTTTCATGCACTTTTGAAAAAATGTATTTTTGACATTATTATTGTCATTGTTACCTCAAAAACAATGAGGATAATTTTTAATTAATGGTTTGATTTTTTCATTTTCTTTCTAAAAATTAATAGCATCACAATGAAATGGAACCATCTATCATCAATATCACAAATAAAAAAGCCCCCTCTTAAACAACTGCTTTTCCCGATGACTAATACGTGGACCATTATGACCACTAACTGGCTTCTTGCTGTCAGTAATATTTTTCCACCACTGATCTTTCGGCGGCGGCGTTCTGGTTTCCCACCCAAGTTGCCATTTTGATTAATTCTAATAAGAGTCGTGTTGAGAAGCTTGACACGGTTCGCCTATTCAAATAGCCGGACGCCGATGACGTCACACTTCCGGAACCCAAATAAGATGAAGCATTGATGACCGCCGGATGTGATTGATTGTGATGCTATGTTGAAGAGAATATTGCATTATCAGCGCTCCTGCTTTGGACAGATATTGTGAAATAACGAATGGTCAGCAGGTGCATCGTGCAAATCAGCCATGACAAGGCGATAATAAGGTAGAAAAGCAGGAATAATAATAATAATAATAATAATAATAATAATAATTTTGTGCTTCTTGCGTATTTTGCGTTGCACATATGTCGCTACCTTGTTATGCCTGTGAGTATATTCATTTTTGCTAGTTCCGGACCCAGTTTCATCATATTTTCCGCAGAAACTGAATTTCGGGTTAGTTCCATCCTTGATTATGACAGTGAGAGGATCTAGGTGCGAGGCGTTGGTCCTGAGCTGCAATAATTAGATCTTCTGTCTCAGCTTTGACCCGGTGCTCCTCAGCCACTGGTGTGTTAATTTTCTTGGCCCACATCTTTCGTTCTTTTAAGGTATTAGCCATGCAACGCTTTCTACCCCTAGTTTTGTTATAATAATAATAATAATCATTCAAATTGACAGGAAAATAAAAGCCAGCTGACCTGGCAAGAAATTCAGGAAGTATATGCTTATTGACATAGCAGTACCATCTGAGAGTAACAGCTCCATAAAAATTATGGAGAAATTGTCCAAATACAAGGACGTGGAGATCGAGATTAACAGGATGTGGGAAATTGTACCAATAGTAATCGGAGCTCTGGACCTCGTGAGAAAAGGAATGGACAATTTTACTAACAGTTTCCAAGGTAACATCAACATACATGTTGCCCAGAAAATCGCCCGACTAGGAACATCGCATATACTAAGAAAAGTGCTATCAATTAAATGACAATTCTCCTATAGGACCTAAGGACCATTGTTTGGACCCGGCGATACAGGATACAAATCAGGAACACAGCTCACAAACGACAATAATAATAATAATAATAATAATAAAATTATTATTAATAATAATAGTAAATGTTCTGATGTTACAACAGAAATGGTTCTTTTAGTGAATTTTGGACACATTTGCTTGTGAGTTTTCTAACCATAACAATTTCAACATGTTTCTGCAATGTTATTGGTCCTGACCTGGCATCTCGCCTTCAGTTAATTTCACACCTGCATAATATATCTTCCCTGTACCTTTTCTATAAATCATTTTAATGACTTTAAGCATCGTACTTGATTTTACAGTTGAAATGGTTAGATGTAAGATCAATATTGACAATTCATTCCATCGCACGTCTTGCCCCCGGTTTCTTGTTTTCAAGACAAATTTGATCTTCAAAAATTTAGATGCAATGCCAATCGTTATCTTGTTTTCTTTTTCTCTTATTACTCTCTCTCTCTTCTTAATAGTATTTTTCTCATATTCTCTAACACTCAGTAGCCCTTTGCGTCTTAACGACTTTGTTCACTTGCTTGGGGTGAAATGATTAAAAAAAATGTCCTCAAGGGATACGGCCATATCACGTTGAAACACCAGTTCTCGTACGATCTCCGAAGTTAGGCAATGTCGACCTGGTCAGTATCTAGATGGATAGCCGCTTGAGAGTACCGGGTGTTGTAAACTTGAATATGCCGATTGTGCTATGGAAAATTTCTTGTTTATATAAGAATCGAGTTCCAATTCCATCTTGGGTTTCTAAAATTTGTTTGATCTTAGGTTTTTGTAATTTTTTTTAAACGCTCGGTGGAAAATGTCATGATGCTATTTCAGACCTTAGGTTTCTGGTTGGGAGCCAGAAAAATGAGTATACAACAGTAATCAAAAGAAGAATTTTTGTTTAAATCTCGAAGAAAACGCTGAAGTAGATGCAACTGGCACAAAACAGCCAGAGAAGAGAAACAAGAAGCGAGAAGAACACATGGCACAGTGGATAAAGGCGTTGGTTAGATCCAGTGACAGGACCCAAAGAGTGTGAGTTCAATACCCGGTTAAGACAGTGGAGAACTTTCAGAGGGAAATTAACAGGAGATAACTGATAACTGGCATCCATCAAACATGACACGTGGAACTAGAACAGTCTACCCCAGTGAGCGAAATAAAGGGTTTAATTCGACATTCCGGAAGAAATTCCGGAGCGTACAACGGCCGAAATGTTGTAATAAATATGGCAACAAAGATGAGGATAATAGTCCGAATAGTGTAAGAAGGGTTTTACTATTTTTTTTTTTGTTTGATTGTTTTTATCATGATTGCGCAAGGTCACATTACAATCAATAAATTAGGCAAACAGCAAGAAACCTGAAATACCTAGTTATATTATTATAGGTATTATGTACCTAGTTATAATGTACATAATACCTCATCGCAGATATATAGACGGATACTGAAGAAGCGAAAAGTCTTTGACAAAAGCAAATAGAAGTCGGAACCAAAAACCTTCTCCGAAGCAAAAATACTGATATATAACAATTTTCTGCAATGGTTAGCAAGATTGTCTTGGTAGGTTAATTACGACTGAGTAGTGATTTCGATCCTAACTGGGCGCTCTATACTTTCGGCCTTGTGCCTCACTTAAACTACGTTTAAGAAATCGCGAAAACAATTTCCTTCGCATCAATGGCTTATAATTTCAGGTCTTAAGGGTGAGACTGAACAACCTGAGCATGCATACACCCAAGCTAATAACTTGCATAATAATTACTTAAATGCAATACGTGATGCTTGGGCGGTCATGTATCTTTCCATATATAACTTAGTATAGTTACCTCCACTAATTCAGTATACGTAAGGTTTAAAATTAATTTTAAGTTTTATTAATTTTTTTTTTGAAGTTTTCATTTTAGCTTTAATTAACAGCTAAAGAATTTAAACTTTACTATTTCCAGTAAGCAAAATACTTTGTCGTGTATTTCAAACAGAAATTATATTGATCGGGATCGATTTTTTTTTCATTAACATTGCTGAAAACGGCTAAATGTGATACATTTGTAAACAAAAGTCAATACTCGATTTGAAAAAATCTTATGAAAATAAAATATGAATTTATGAAACGTTATTTGAGGAAAAATAGCAAATTTAAAATGAAATTAATCTGATTTGAAACAAATATTACTTATAGCATAAAATGTTGTACACAAACATTTCTTAACTACAGTGTCATGTTTTTTTGGACGTGTTAATCGATTTATTTACATTCGATTGATAGCCGAACGTGAGCTTAGTTAAATATGGTGAAGTAGACGATAAAGTTTTGTTCATCGTAAGGTGGGAAAAACCTTTAAAACACGTGACCTTTAAATGCTAGATTTATTGGTTTGTACATTCATACTTCAGAAATTCTGCATGTATACATATACAAAAATAAATCGAAATTCTTTAAAAAATCTTCAGGTTCGTAAATATAGTTTTACTTAATAATATTTTCTAAAAATTATCTCATTGAAAATGACTTTTAAAAGATTTAAAATCTTTATAAATAATTCAATTTAAAGTTGCAAAAAAAAAAAAATGAAAACAAATCTTGTAAAAATTCATTTTTCGTCAAAATCTTTTTCTTCAGACAATGTTGTCTTCAATATATATTATTTATAAACGCAATTAAAAGCTTCTCTAATTAAATATTGTTTTAGCTTTGTTGTGTTTTTAATTTTTCGATTTAGAACAGATTTTCGGTAAGACTGGATCGAGTTTTACAAAAAAAAAAAAAAAAAAAAAATCGGCGATTTAAATTCTTCAAAGAATTCTGCATTTAAGTAATATAATCAATAAAAATTATGTCTTTGAATTTCTCAAGTTTTTATAAAATTAATTAAGGGGCTGAAACACATGTAAAAACATTTTTACCATTATTTACAATAAAAAATTCCAAAATAACATGATGTATTTATGAATATCTGAAAATTTCAGTAAAATCAGATGGTTATTTGATTTTTGCAAGAATTTCCAAATTAATGTATCTATCACTTCAAAAAAAGAGGAAAAAATGTGCTAAGCTAAAAGTTAGTACAACTGTTGATACAAGAAAAAACAAGTTTTTTAATCAAAATTTCCAATGTTCTAAAAAGGAATAAAAAATTTAATTAATCAAAAATATTTTGATCCCCACTCTTAACACTAGGATGGCCAGCTTCTTTGACATCTTTATTTACATTACGCCGTGAAGCAGCCATCTTTAATATATTCAATATTCAAGTCAGGAATAACAAGCCTGAAAAGAAATTCACAAATATTAGTATACCTCACACTGAAAGAAAGTGATTATATATACATATATATATATAAATTATGTGTGTTTGTGTATAGATAGATAGATAGATAAATAGATAGATAGGGGACATAAACACAAGTATTATTGCTTGTGAGAAATGTTTGAATACATTTACCCTATAAATAGCCTAGGTGTCAAAAACGACACCTCGGTCATTCAAGGTAAAACCTCAAATATCAGCTATTCCACTGAATATTGTTTTAAAGAGTTAAGTCTGTTAAGCATCTTTGCTAAAATTCAATAATTGTCCATAAGCCTCAGCATCGAACCAAAACTAGTTATTCCATAGGAATTTGTTGAAAATTTGAAGGTGCCGGAAACGACACCTCGGCCATCTTAGTGTTAATAATAACATCACGATTCTAACCATAAAAATATGTTTTCATCACTGTATGTCGATTTTTTTTCATTTTCATGGAATTACCTACTTACTAGGTAGAAGATTTTTCCCACAGTAGGTTCCTATTTCTTTCTACGGCATATGTTTGCCAGCGAATGCTATAGGAACCAGTCTGTCCTGCTAGGGAGCAAAATGGACCCGACCTTATCCAAGGCTATCTGTGCGTAAGTAATTGTAAACGAACTCAACTGCAACTCGGCTCTATGATTTCTCATTTCAAGCCGATATCCATTTTACCACAACGCACATAATAGCGCGGACTCAAAATGTAGGTTCTTTGACCATTATATTAAAACTATTGAACAGATTATCTCAGGATTTTCTATACTCACATCAAGTGAGTACAAAAGAAACCCATGACAGGGGAGGTCAATATATTCATTGGAAGATCTGTCACCTTACTCTTCTTAATGTATCGTGTATATTAAGAACTAGCAGTATAAAGCGTCTTCGATCGAGTTTTTCATTACTGTGAATTTTTGCCGTTCAACTGGAGCAGTTTAAGTTTAAAGTCAGCCCACCCGAAAATCAATACTAGTAACATTTGCGCGCAACTGGGGTACATCGCCAAATGAGGAGGGGTTACCGATTTGAATGGAGGCGGGTGGCCCTGAAAAGGGAACTGTAATATTATTGAAATAATTTAAACTATTTTTTATTAAAGTTTTTATGAAATATATATATATATATATATATATATATATATATATATATATATATATATGACGTCACACATTATGAAATGGACAAGGTCCGACAATTATTTTAAGACACTTTTTTAGGTACCTCCAGCCGTTCGCTAAAAAATCATTAGCATAAGGATAACAGGTCCGAAACTTAATAAAAACAAAGTTTCACCATTACAATGTTTGTTATTCTTAAGAGGAAAGAACGAAGTATTTTTTAAATATTTAAAAAAATTTTTCTTCTTTCGAACACGTTTTAAATTTGGGTCAAATATATCCCGTACGACTTGTGGTCATCGCCATTTTAGTGTAGCAATTTCGGGGAAAAACCCATTAATTTTGAAATTATTGCAAAAATCAAATAATTGTCTAATTTAAATGAACTTTCAGAACTTATTCAAAAATGAATGAATTTATTTTTGAAATTTTTATTTTTAGAAAATCTTGGTAAAAATATCTTTTTTTTACATATTCCCCATCCAAAATTAATTTTATGAAATTTTATAGAATTTCAAAAGTTCGAAACTTTTCTTTTTCCTTATAGGCAGGACTCCTTGGAGAAATTAAATAACCAATTTTTTTTTTTTTTTTTTTTTTCACAACTAATGCCAACTTTATAAAAATCTGCTCCAAATCGTAAAAATAAAAACTGCAATAAATTATCTAATTATCAAATTAGATAGTTTTTTTTTTATTTTATAAATAATATACATTAAGGACATTATTATCCGAAGAAAAAAAATTCGATGAATAAAGAATTTTTACAACAATTGTTTGCATTTTTCGTTTATTTTTTTTTTCATTTTTTTTCATTTTTTTACATTTTTTCATTTTTTTCTTTAATTTTAAAAATGTTTTAAAATTCTTTCATGCAGCGCATTTGGTCGATTATTAGTTTTTTTTAAGTGAAGACTATATTTACTAAGCGAAAATTAAAATCTTAATAAAATAACCCTGCCAAAACTTTTTACCATAATAAAATTTGTTTTTTTTTTGTCCGTTTAAGATGTTTGATTTTTTTTTTGGTATAGTATCTCGCAAAGTGATATTACAGTTAAAGGTCACGTGTTTCACGGCTTCTCTCCCCCTAGGGATAGCCCCTTGACATAAAGGTCAATTGCCGGCAATTGTCATTCATTTTACTTCCGTATTTCATCAACCCTTCGCTTCAACAGGCTTGTTTTTGAAATCATCCCTTCAAGATTTAAAAAGTAAGTTTTTTTTTTGAGATGCTATGCATGTATTTATTTTAATTTTTAGTCCGTGT